GAAAAAGCGATTCAGCGAAAGTGCCAGCGTCGAATAAGTACACATTTCATTTTCAGTTCCATCATAAGTTTCACGTAATTTAAGCTTTCGCCAAGGCATAATTTATTGTCGATTAAACGTCATACCTCCATGGAGATAGATGAACGTCCTGCTTGCTTTTAACGCGCAGGAACTTTTAGCTTCTGTCCACTTTGCAACTGCGACATGCATATTTACTTGTCGCTGAGAATTTCAAAGTTTTCTCGGATTTCGCGGCGCTTTGACCCCGCTCGTGGCGATCGTCGCGACGCATAGACCTCCGACAACGCTTGTGACGTTTCTCTCCTACATTCCTCCTCTTTCTCCTCTTCCTCCTCTTCCTCCTACTCCTCCTCCTCCTCCTCGTCCCCCCTCTTCCATTATCTGCCTTAAGTCGACTCCAGACGCAATCGCGGCTGGCTGTAATGTATCAACGTCCTTAGAATCCTAAAGGCCTGCGTAGCTGCATATGTTAAGAGCAAACATTCTCGCGCCATGATACTTATTCTTGTCCCTTCGCCGCGTAGTCCATCTTTCCTTTGATCGACTTAAGTGGAGTGGACGATGTTGTCAAAGTGAAATAAAATCCGTAAACAATTCAGGTTAAACGGATAAAGACGATTCGAAAGGAGCACAAGAAAGGGAAAACTCCGAAATCTTTCAAAAAGTTAATTTGAATTTGCACAAAGTAGAAGAACTAGTATCAATAACTCAAGTCCAGCTGCAATCCCTTAATTAGGACTGGTCTCGTGCTTGTTAAATATCTCATCTATACTTGCAAATCGTCATACGAAGTCTAGCTCAAGTGTTACGTGGATATGGGACGTTTCTGGATAAGTTATGAAAGACATCTACGTCAGGTGTAGGGTACTTTAGCTATTTGCTAGTATTCGGCAGCTTGGCAAGACTTGATCGTTACTAAAGCAAAATGACCGGTAAAAAATCTTACGAGTCTACCTCAATGAGACTTCTCCCATATTGAAGTAGAATAATTCCCAAAAGTCTAGCTCGCTGCCAGCTAGACTCGTTCCGGATCTAACAGTCAGCCTCGGTCTCTGCGAGACTTCGGAGAATCTCTGCTATATTCAAGCGAGACTACAAAATCTATTTTAGACCTATCTTACACCACTGTAAGACCGAATGTTTTTTACTTTGCACGTTTCAACCTTCACCCTCTATGCTTTTTGCTTGTCCATCGTGAAATTTTGCTAATCAACTAGGAGAATGTCGATGATCAAGGAGATATTAAAAGGTTAGGAGACTGATAACTTGATAAGGTGTACACGAGGCGTCGTTACCAGGAGCTCAAGGATTTTGGAGATCTTCAGGTTCCTCTGAGATAATGCTTTCCAGAAAGGTCGGAGGTGCTATGAAGGTAGTTCTAACCTAACTCGGAAGTTGTGGTCGCACAAACTTGGACCATTAGCTAACTCGAATGTTTGCCTGGCCGAGGATCAAAAGTTAGCAAAGCATAAATCTGCCGACTAAGGCCTGGACACGAAGACAGGGAGATGTGCCTCTATTAACTCGATTGACAAACTTTCCTACGATTAGTCAACTAATTAGCCAAGTTTCGAGATGACTTTGAATTTCACGGTGATGCTGGATGCTGCACGATCGGTCATAAGTGCGACCACCGATTAGTGATTAGTCCTCAATCATCCCCATGATTCTTTGGATCGAGCTTATGAGAGTGCACCGGCGTAATAGAATAATTGCGACCGTCTCCCTAGAGGAGCTCGCATTATTCATCCTGGCAAGCAATGTCTCTGCTATTCTATCATGATGGGATCTGGCGCATTCCATAGCTCATGAATGCAATCCCCAATTCCCGATCCCCTTTCCTTCCCTTTGCTTTCCTTTCCGATCATCAATCCATCATAGAACTCTCCACCTGACATATCTAATTCCTCTCCATTCTCACACCCTCTCCTCCTTCGAAACTCGGCATCAACACTCTACTTTCCTTCTGTCCGATGCTCTCGCAAAAGTAATTTGAAATCAGCTCATTTACGAGACCCATTCGCGTTTTTTTTCCATCACGGAGAATAAAAATGATTAGAGAAAAGGTGGCTTGAAGACTTTTTTTCATTGCAAAAAGACCTCGTCAGCAAGACAGTCAAAGAGTCACGCGTATCGAACTGTCGAAGGGGCCTCCTCGCCTGGAGCCAGCCGTTCGGTGGCTTCCTACAAATTTATGGTAAATTGCTTCGGGCAGCTGGGAAGCTGAATAATGCATCCTGTTTTATGTAATATGGATGCTGTTGCGTCCATGTAAAATGCATTCTCGGCCAGCTGTCTTGAGTTTTTTAATATTCCGTTGGTTGCTGCTTCACGAATATACGTGGGAAGACGAAAATGAGACAGCGTGAAATGGCGCAGACGACGAGAGCAGTTGGCCCTATGATATTCAGTGGGAGGTTCGCTCAACCTCTGCGTTCTGTCGGCGACCGATGAATTGCCAATTGCCATTAGCCATTGGCCAGATTCAAGGGGACTTGATGAATTTTCGATTTGGTCGGAAGGTATCGCGAGTGGTCTGGCGTCTGGCGTCTGGCGTTCTGGCATCTAGCTGCGTGATAAGCTGCGGCGTCTTCAATGCGATAACGTGGCATCGACAGTGATCGATGAAACTCTCAGTTGCTGAGCTGCCCTTTTCAAGCTAAACTAACGTTTCTTTGGTTACCTCTCTCATTCATTCGTTTTCTCAGACATGGAGGTGCGAGGGTTTTCGATCTCCCGGCCATCAATCCGAATCGATCAGATTCAACTCTGCGCTGCGTCACCAGCTAACAGTCTTCGAAAAGAAGTCCGACGGGGCCAAAGGTGATAGATGAAAGATGAAAGATGAAATCTCTCTTTGATACGAGCACTCTTCTACCTGCCATTTTCAACCTCCTCCTTATTACTATATCCGCAACCTTGTACCTTTTTCGAGTCAGTTCAAGTTTAGCCCGTCCGATATGACAGAACCTGATATTACGGTCAATCTCTCTTGAAGCTACTTAGGTCCCTCCATTCCTATCTCTTTCTCTCTCTCTTCTAAAGTGCCCTTTAATGCAAGAATGATAAAAAAGAAAATCAGCATTGCACGAAGTATGCAGTTTAGAAAGTGTTATTTTATACGTTACACAGTGTATTCTAGAGAAGAAAAAGTAACAGTTGGAAATTGGCAATATCAGAGTTCCCTGCTCAAAGATCTAATTATTGTAAAAGACCTCGTGCATGTAACTGCTATATCGGTGCGTGAAAGAAATGTAACAATGCCGATCTGCGACTGTTATTTTGTCTTTGCTCGGTATGCGGTGCTACGTGATCTTTCGACTCACGATCACAAGGCGACTCTAGCTACCAGTTCGGATAATAACGATGTCGTTTTCTGGTTCCCTTCGAGTCGTCACTCTGCTCAGAAGCTACACCCTCGGATTGATTCGTACGGCTACGCCAAGAATGCCCTCGGAAAGATTTGTTATTGTTGAGTTGAGCTCGAGGTGCTCGAATCTGATATCGAATCGAGAGATAGTCTCAACGTAACGAGTTGCCCGGCAGAGGAGGGTACCCGGACGGGTGAGATCCTGAATGTGCTATAGTGCAGTGCCCACCCGCGTGTCCCCTGGACGCAGTACACAGTTCTCGGCCTTCACGGATCTTCGGATTCGGCTGAACCAGCTACGGCGAGCACTCTCAACTCCCCGGTTATTCCAGCTCGTCAGTTCCTGGTAAAAAAGAAATTGGCTGGCGTCCGCCTGGCGTGCGGATGCATGCACGAAGTGTGGACTGGCTCGAAAGTGACGTAGGTTAGCTCTCGGATTTACATTATCGGTGTCGAGTCAAGGAAATACGTTACACCGCGTGTGCCGATATCGTCGACATCTTCTTCGGGTCTTAACTTATTTCAGAGCGACGGTAAAGATTACTCAGTTAGTCTCCTGCTGATTGTCCATATGTGGATGTATGCAAATTAATCTGCAACTCTTGGAACTGGTTTCTAGTAAATATAGTAAATAAACGAAGAGATTCGACGATACGAAAATGAATTTTCTAGTCACTCGTACTTACCTGTTTATTTGCTCATCGCTTCATTTATCTGACTGTCACAATCGTTTACGACAAAACTTATAAATGAACCGAGTTCACTTGAAGCAAGTGCGATTGCCGACGCTGGAAGCTTTAGAGTAGGAAGGGGGGGATCAGTTGGGTCGAAAGCAGCAGGAGCTGAAAACTGGCTGATCAGACCGAATCAACCAAAGCGGAAGGATTCGTCGGCCTACAAAGAGCGAAGAGAGATATACGCGGAGGGGAAGAGGGAGAGAGGTCGCTGGCTCCTACTATTTGCGCAAAGCATTAAAGGGATAGATGAGAGGAGAAGAAGATGGAGTCTCCCCTTCGAGGCTTTGAATTCGAGACGGTTCGATTACAGCCCTCGCGGTTTCCAGAACCTTAATCTTATCTGCCACGTCTACACGGCAGGACACGATATATCCTTTTACCATCATACAATATCTCACGTCTTCACAATTATTCGCATTTCTGGATATATGGTATTGACATCGCAGCACAACTGTGCTGCTGCCTTGAGCGAATTCCGAGAGCAGCCGAGCGTAAACGACGACTGAGCCGTCAATAACGAACTGAAACTTAAAGCTCGGTGATGCGGAAGCGGGTTCTCGTTGTGGACAACTCGAGGAGGAATTCGGTGGGTTTGCCAGCAAGTGTCTCAGCCTCTCTTCGCAAGCAAGGTCGCTCTTTAGGCTTGACTCCATCGTCACGTTACTTAAACCAATTGTAAGCTGAGCAACGCCAAAACGTACATCATTCAAGTGACAATGTGGCATCATAAAGACGGGCGGTCTCACCATGAAGGACGCGCGTCAATCGTAGTCGGTGGTCGTAGATCAAGCAGCTCAATTGTAATAGATTTTATAAAAAAACATAAAATTAAATGTTGAGCTTAATGTATTACGTTATTTATCGTCCTCCTTCTTCTTCTTCTTCTTCTTCTTCTTCTTCCTTTTTGTTTCTGTATTTCATGAATACTTCAAGCTTCTAGCAGGTATAAACTCCGTTATTACGCAAGAGCTCGCAGTGGCTGGTTCGAAGACACAATCGAGGCCAAGAAGTCAGGTGACTCCCAGCATTAGGATAGTAGGTGCAGTAGTTTTCCCAAGGATGACAAGGATGACAAGGATGACAAGGATGACAAGGATGACAAGGATGACAAAGCTCGGGCTGCAGGTAGCCACAAAAGGGTTGATGAGACTCCGAAGAAGTTGCGCCGTGACAAGTACTTGCGCGACCTTTCGGAATGGTTGCGCCAGTAACAGCCGTTCCAGCGCCCGTTCGTCTATGTAAGGATCTACCGCGAACTCTGGACTCTCCCGTATCCTTCCTTCTCATTGCTTCCGTTGTCTTATGCCCTTTCAGTGGATTCACGCTATTTCCCTCGGTGTATTCCGTATCGATTATATTTTCTGTCGATTCCGTCAATAGTCTTGAACTCGCGCTCCCATGAAGTTTCCCGGTGCCCTTTGCGGTTGCCTTTTTCTTATCGTCCAACTTATTTCTGACCTCCAGACTTGGTGTCTCCCCTATCTTCTCGTAGTCTGTTTCCTTGTTTAGAGTCTTTTTATTTTTCCGAGCCTTCACACTTTTCGGGAGACCATCCTTTACCGCCGACCCCTTTGAGAGATTCTCCTCTTCGTCCGCGGAAATGGATTCCGGATTCCTTCCGGATTTCTTCTTCCCTTTAGCTTCCACTATCGATTCCCTTTTCCCTCGATGATCCTTCTTATCCTTCTTGATCTCCTTGGCTTCCGTGGACTTTTCCGTTATGATCTTGTCGGAGGAGGACATCATCGGCCGTTCGTCGTGTCCCATAGGCCGATGTTGATCGAGCTCTGCACGAACGCTCGTTCTCTCCTGATGATCGGCGTGACCGTCTTCATTGGCAAGGCAAGCGCACGCAAGAGATAAAGGTGTCCTCTTTGAGGAAAACGGTGCGCTTCTTATCGTCCAGCATCCACTCTGAAGCTTCTCGAGCGTGGTCTCTTGGGCACAGTAAAGGTAATACGAAGAAGCTCCTGGACCAAGGTAGAAGAGTTGATCCTGAGTATCGGCAAGCTCGATTTTAGTGACGATCGATTTTCCGAAATAACTCAACCTCACGTAAATATCAAGAAAGGCTCCATTATCGCGAAGATTCTCGTCGAGAATTTTAAATCTACCCTTTAGTGATCTCGATATAGGTTCACGATTACGTTCCTTAGGCTCGTGCCGATAATCCTCTCTTTCGGCCAGGAGTTCTCCGATTATTCCATTGAAGAGATGCTCGACACGAAGAAGGACAATGCCTACACTCTGACAGGGTTCAAGCTCAAAGTACCTGGAGAGCTCTTTGTGCACGTGAACCTGGAGATGAAGAGGTCCCTCCATGGGTCGCTCAAGAGTGGCTTCGGGCACGGAGAAAACGAGCGACCTGCCCCCCTCGAAGGTCTCGTCCTCCCGGTTCGTCCCACGGTACGCGTGATGATCGGCACGCTGTGGCACCATCGAGGTCCACTCCTGGTCCAGGAGTCGAAACATAACCACTGTTTGCTTCACCACTGCCGCCTCGAAGGCCGAGCTGCGTGGCACGTGGACCTGCCAACGTGACGTCATTTAGCATGCCATTTAGTTCCATTCTATACCGGTGTCGCATCAATTCCTTACGAGAACTTAAAACCAGCCGATTCTTACCTTGTCCAGCGATACCTCGAGCATCATTATGTGCAGGTCATGCGCCACAATCAACGAAGACATTTTCACTAAAGATCCGTCTGTTTTTTCTTTCTTTTTTTTTCTTTTCAATTAGTTATGCCAAATGATCGATACAGTTAGTACATGTTGTTAATTCCAATTACGGAAGTTCCATATCCATATTGTATAATTTAGAAGTGATAGCCGTTAGGAGTTAGATTGAAAGTTGCGAGTGACATTTGGATGATGAATCTTGAATTCTTTGCTCCAATCTCGATGCAATATCGAATTCCGAGAATATTTCACGCGCGCTGCGAACATACTTGGAACCTCGGAAAATCCAAGAAAGAAAAAATGTTCAATTTTTTCAACGTTATCTTGCTCTTTCAATAGTTGCATACACTGCCATTGGATAGCTCGTGGCTGTGTCTCCATTGTGGATAAGTGGGCCCTGCTTTATAAAAATCACGTAATGCTGAGTAAGTAGAATCGTTCCAGCAGACAGACATAGGTTAATGGGCCCTACACACCAACGGCAAATATCATAGCATCTAGCTGTGCTGATAATAAATCAGACCGAAAGCATCTTGCCTATTGGTGTGCAAGGCCCACTGTCTCTGGTTCGAACGAGTCCTGCCTCTTTTTCAGTTACGAGCACACTTGGTGGGAATGTGACGAAGGACAAACACCTACAGTTCTGACGCTCCTATAATCGTATGTGGTTCCTACGCGCGCGCAATTAAAACGCATTTCAATGGCCTTCCGACGTACTGCCGTAAGGAACATGACAATTTATATTTTTTCAATCCGCTTATTCGTTAACTGCATCCATTTTTTGTAGGCATATTTAATATTTTATATCTGCATTTTGCTGCAATTGCCTACAGTAGCTACGGCTGCGTAATAATATACGGGCACGTTTGTATCACGGACGGTTGACGGATATCGTCAAAATTAAAAATTCAAGCGCGATTTTCGTGGAAAATGACCCATCACAGAATTACTTTCTTCGATGACGTCTGTAAACTTAATGTAATGAGACCGCTCTACTGCCCTCGTAAACGCGTCATAATTGATTTTGAATTTTAGAGATGCAATAGTTTAATCGACTCGCAATTGCCAGCCAATTGATATGTAAAATACTACATATGTTACAGTTCGACTCGAGTCTCGGGTGCTTTGCCTTTGAATGAATATTCTGCCGCCCGATGCTGCCTCCCGCGCTTTGCATCGTTCATCGCTCCACCGGACTAGTACACGAGACACGTTCGAAAAGTCTCTCATTCGCTCTGCAGAATGTTTTGGTACGATATGGCCTGAAGAAATTCCAACGAAAAAGAAAGAGATTCATGAAGACGTCGCAAATGAGACACGTCGGACTTGCAGGCGTAGAAGCCCCTGCGGCATTGTACAAGCCCTTTAGCATTTTCACTCGCTCGAGGAGCTCGGAGCTCGCACGTCTGCAAAAGGAAAACTGTACTGCTGCTCCAAGGAAAATCCAATTTTCCCGGATTAAGGTGGCACACACGCGCATAATACGGAATAGTATAATTTCATTTCGCTTCCCTTCGTCTCTTGCATCTTCTCACCTCCATTCACTCCCTGGCCACTTATCCGTTGATCCTCCCATTCCTCAAAACGCGACACTATTTTCCGCTTGGACGTCGCGGGAAAACCGCGAAGCCAACGCTATCGTATCTTTCTCAATCTCAATCAGTATCATTCAAAAGCTTTCTTTTTTTTTCTTCTTTATTCGGACAGTCTGCAGCTTGAATCGAAGCTGCAGAGAAGTGTGCTGCTTATAATCATTTACGGTGACTTACAGAAAGTTAACGTAATTATCAGAGAAGATGATTTGCTCGGTTTTCTTGGAGAATTCCATTGAGGGTTGCTTGATTAAAAAAAAACAAGACCACTCGGCCGGGCCCTTAAATCCTGCAGTACCCCTGCGACTCCAGCAAATTGTGCCGGCTCTATAGGGAGATCGAATGACATGCTGCGACCGCTAGTAAAAGGTCCTTTACAGGCGAAACGCGACTAGCAGCATGGACGTAAAGATTTAATGCGTTCCAACCCCTACCGTGTAAAACGTCTCCTAAATATATTACCGCGAGCGCTCGAGCACTGCCCCTCGTTGCAAAGCTTCGAAAGCTCCGTAGGATTTAGTGACTGGCTCACTCCGCGTTAGTCCTCTTTAGGCCCCGCTGTTCCCTACAGAACAGAGGAAGGATTACGCTCAAGCTAGAACTCCATCTATGCCATCTCGCAATGAAACATTTTCATTAAGTCCTTTGCTTAAAACACAACGTGCTGGTTACCGTACTGGTTAACCTTCAGCCACTGACCATCCCTGCTGTTGACTGACAATGAGACGAGCGAAATGATACCGATCTTTGGGAAGAAAGAAATCAAACGGACGAGAGTGAAAAATCAAACGGATAGCACAAGATTGGACCTCTTTTTTGGCAATTGCTCCGAAGAAGAAACTCCGATGATTTAGCCACATATAGACTTTAAAAAATAAGCTATCTCGTTTTCTCGACACATCGCTCCCAAATCGACATCAACTTTTACTTTGCTTCTTTCTCTGGATCTCAGCGAATAGAAGCGGCAATAATTTCTTTTCATTCGTCCGGAAAGTGGGCAAACCGCACCGATTTATTCGCAGCCAACGCAGCTCATGTCCGGAACTCCCGACGTTACGTGGCAGGACAGGATGGATGCCCTTCATGTAAATCGGTCCGGTTCAACCTTTGACCAAAATAAAAGGAGTAATAAAAACATCCATTTACGATAGAAAAGACAATTGCCAAAGTATGGTTTATTGTATAACCCGAATGCATCTGTAAAGCTTTAAATCTTAAAAGCAGTAGCACTAACGGACAGTATTATTCTTCATATACAAGATTCACGTCCATGCGATCTTAAGCAAATTGAAATGATGATCACTATCGTTGCTCGCAGCATTAGTTGAGCCGGAAAAGTTGAAAGCACTCGCTCTCGGCGTTCCATCCTCGGAGCGCGACTCGTAAATCTCGTAAACCGTTTGGCACGACGTGCAAAAGTCAGAATGGGATGTAGAGAGAGATTTGGTCGGGCGAGTGTCTTAACAATTTCATGCTGTTTGCCTATGCATTACAGTACAGTAGGTGTTGCCAAGTGCGAGATGGATGATGCCTGTAGTCCTATGCACCGCTATGCATTTATACAATATATGTATGTAGTCCAATCTATTCTTGGGGTAAAACCAAATAAACTAAAGAAAAAAACTGAAACTTTGCACGTACCCCTGTGTGTATGGGCACTATAGGTATATTAAAAATGCTCCGACATATTATTTTTAACTTAAGAATTATAGTCACATTGTCATTCTTGTGAATGTAAATCCTCTCTCAAAGTTCAGTACTTTCTAGTACTTGCACTTCAAACTTTTTGCATGCTCCTAATCTTTCTATCTGTGAATTTTCTGTGCATTTATATGATCTTGTTATGTGACTTTAGTGTAATCGATTGTTACCATAGCAACAAGATGTGTAACATCTTTCCAATATCTTAATATTACGACGATAGATAACGAAGGGAGGATGTATGTACTGTAACGTAATTCTTTAACTTGACCCGACACCGATAGCAAAACATACGAGCATGACTATCTTCGAGAACCAACCTACGTTACCTTCGGCCGTCCACCCGTCGTTCGTGCAGCCGCCAGCCAATTCTTTTTGTCACCGGGAACTGACTAGCCGGTATAAACTGGCAGTTGGGGTGGAACAGGCCCAACTCCACCAAGAACGAGAGCTCTGACGGAACCTATCGGACGAGGCGGTAGCTTAACGGATCCTGTCGATCTTTGGGGTCGCGTAAAATCGAGAAACGCACCTGGATACACGAACGGGAGCGGACGGTTACGGAAATGCACGGCCGCTCAGGCTGCTAGGTTTAAGGTAGAGAGGGTCGGAGTAAGAGTCCGGCAAATAGCGCGATCGACAGAGAGCGAATCTTAACTGTCTATCGAGATCCCTTCACCGATTAATAAATTGGGAGACTCACCGGAGCTGGTGCAGCTAATCCGTGGAGGCCGAGAACTGTATCCAAAAGACACTCACATGGTCACTGCACTAAAGCAATAAAGCACAGCACTACACTTTCGGAAGACTCACAGGAATTCATCGAATTGCCTGGATATCGCGAGAACAACGCGAGAACTGCACGAATGGAGAACTTGCTATACCGTAGCGAAACACGGCAAGAAAAACTATCAACAGACAGCACG